AAAAGAGTCGATTTTTTTATTCTGTCTCGATGCTCTCGATTCCTGATCCCAAGCTTTCATTCCATCCTGATGTTCTCCCATCCCGATCTCTTCTCCGACCTTCACTATCCCAGCATCGTTTCTCTTTCCCCGACACCCTTCCCCCTCTTTTCCCCACTCCTTCCATCACCCTGTTCCTTCCCATATCGCGACCTTTCCCTCCATTCGTCCTCCCGACCTGTACCACCCCCAAACCTTTTCCATCCGGACCCCCCCTCCTTCTCTCCTCTCCTTTTTTGCCATTCCTATCCCGATCTCCCCTCCTATCCTCTTCTTCCTTCCCATATCCCCACTTCCAATCAATCAATTACCTTCCCCCGAATATAAACAAATTGCGTTCATTTATCAACGGAGCTCATTTCAAACGCCACGCAAGTGCGTGTTTGTGTGTGTGTGTGTGTGTGTGTGTGTGTGTATGTGTGTGTGTGTGTATGTGATTGGTGGGGGTATGTGTGTGTACGCGTGTGTGTGTGTGTGTGTGTGTGTGTATCCCCCCCTCGTACCAACCAATCAATGTTCTCCCCTCCCCTAGAAAAAAAAAGAAAAAAACGAAAAAAAAAAAAAAGGTCGCACTTCCCCCTTTATGCACAAAAAAACCCTCCCTCTTACCAACCAATCAATCAACCGATTTGGACTTCCCTCCTCCCCGACCTCGTTACCCTCATCCCGTATTCCGATCTCGCCCTCCCCATCCCCACCCTCCGACCCTCTCTTCACATGCCGACTTCTCCCCCTCTCCCTTACCCACAAACCTCCCTCGTACAAACCATCAATTAATCAATCCGGACTTCCCCCTTTCCCGACCTCGTCGCGCATCCCGACCCCTGTGCCAACCTCCAGAACCTGCGACCCTTTCTCCCCATCCCGACTCCCCCCCCTCCCTATCCTGACCTCGGGACCTGTCGCTCCCCATCCCGACTTCGTTGCCCCCTTTGCTCATCCCGACTTCCACCCCGGCTCGCAACTTCCCCTTCCCCTATCCCAACGTCATCGGGCTTTGGGTACTTCCCCCTCCCCATCCCGACCTTCCGTCCCTCTCTCCCCATCCCGAAATACTCCCCTCCCTATCCCGACCTCTGGACCTGTCCCTCCCCATCCCGACTCCATTGCCCCCTTTGGCCATCCCGACTTCCAACCCGGCTCGCGACTTCCCGTTCCCCTATCCCAACGCCTTCGGGCTTTGGGTTGTGCCCAACCCACATCCCGACTTCCCCCTCCCCATCCCGACCCTCCGACCATCTCTCCCCATCCCGATTTCCTCCCCTCCCTATCCCGACCACCGGACCTGTCCTTCCCCATCCCGACTTCGTTGCCCTTTTCGCCCATCCTGACTTCCATCCCGGCTTCTCCCCTCCTCCATCCCGACCTGGTCGCCCCCTCCCCCTATCCAAACAAAACGTTCCGACAATTGTTTGTGTGCCACGTGGTGCAATGGCGTGCGCTGCCAAAAGAAGAAGAAAAAACAAAAGTTGCGCCCATCCCGACTTCCCCCTCCCCATCCCGACCCTCCGACCATTTCTCCCCATCCCGATTTCCTCCCCTCCCTATCCCGACCACCGGACCTGTCCTTCCCCATCCCGACTTCGTTGCCCCTTTCGCCCGTTCCGACTCCTCCATCCCGACCTCGTCGCCCCTGTGTGCCACGTGGTGCAGTGGCGTGCACTGCCAAAAAAGAAGAAAAAAAAAAAAAGTTGCGCCCATCCTGACTTCTCCCTCCCAATCCCGACCCTCCGACCATTTCTCCCCATCCCGATTTCCTCCCCTCCCTATCCCAACCGCCGGACTTGTCCCTCCCCATCCCGACTCCGTTGCCCCTTTCGCCCATCCCGCCTTCCATCCCGGCTTCTCCCCTCCTCCATCCCGACCTCATCGCCCCCTCCCCCTATCCCAACAAAACGTTCCGGCAGTTGCTTGTGTGCCACGTGGTGCAGTGGCGTGCGCTGCCAAAAAAAGAAGCAAAAAAAAATAAAAAAATAAAAAAAAGAAGGAAAATTAAGAATCTCCTTCCCCCTTCCCTCCCTTCCGGACCTCGCTCGTCCTCCCATCCCCTCTCCCTGTCCAAAAAAAAAAAAAAAAACGAAAAAACGATCAACTCACCTTCGTCCGCCATCTCTTTTCCTCGTCGCCTCCTCGTCTTCCTCTTCTCCTCTCCTCCGGCGCGTTGCTCTGACCGTCAACGGCCGTCTGCACTTGCCAACCTCTATCCTCTCTCCCTCTCCCTCCCTCTCTCTCTCAAGCGATCGAAACAACGAATCGAGACATCACCGCGGGAAGCAACACGGGAAGCAACACGTATCCTCGAAACAGCAAATCTGGAACGGGAAGCTGCACATAAATGCAAAAAAAAAAGCAGGATCGCCGATCGGGCCCGCGTCGGACGGCCCGATAGAAGTTTCGGGAATGACCTGCAGCGTATCCTGAAAACTCTATCGGGTCGTCCAAGGCAGGCCCGCTGGACAATTCCAACGACCCTCACCCGTTCGGCCTGCCCTGAAAGCGGTATCTGTCGGGCCCGCCCGCCGGTCCCACTGTGTTTCCCAACAATGGATAGCGGCCTCTCGCGAGAACGTTTTCGACGACCCTCACCCGTTCGTCCTGCCCCAAAAGACATAGGCGGTATCTGTCGGGCCCGCCCGCCGGTCCCACTGTGTTTCCCAACAGTGGATAGCGGCCTCTTGCGGGAGAGTTACGCGAGCACCGCTATTCGCTTAAAGAGTGTTAAGGAAGGTCTCGATGGACCACGGATCAGTATGTACCTGAACGGAGCAAGATGCTACGACTTGATTGTGCGAGAAGATCGAAAATGAAACTGATGGAAGCAGATACTACATTTGATCATGTGGGCGGGAGGGCGTTGTGGCACATAGCTAGTTACATTGGGTTCTCTCTCTCTCTCTTTCTCTCTCTCGTGTGCGCGCGTGCGTTTTTTTTCTTTTTTAAAATAAAAAGGTCTCGATGGACCGCGGTTCAGATATGAAACCGAACGGAGCAGATAATACTCTTGATGGTGCGGAGAGGGAGGATCGGATTGGAAATTGATCGAAGCAGATATTGCACTTGATCATGGGGGGGGAAGGTACCTAGTTGGATCTCTCTCTCTCTCTCTCTCTCTCTCTCTCTCTCTCTCTCTCTCTCTCTCTCTCTCTCTCTCTCTCTCTTCCCCCCTTTCCCCCCCGAACCTCTCTCCATTCGATGAACCACGGATCAGATACGAAACTTAACGGAGTAGATACTTCGCTTGATCGTGTGGGGAGGAGGATCGATATGAAACTGATTGAAGCAGATGCTACACTTGATCGTGTGTTGGGGAGGGAAGGGGAGGCGCATAGCTAGGTAGGTTAGGTTCGCTCTCTTTCTCTCTCTCTATCTTTATCTCTTGCTCGCTCTCTCGCGCACGCGCGTGCTTTTTTTTTATTGAAGAAAAAGGTCTCGATGAACCACAGATCAGATATGAAACTGAACAGAACAATTACTATTGCGAGGCCACTGCCTCTATGAGCCCCATAAGGCCCCATTTTGCAGCCCGTCGGCCGCCCTAAGTGAAGGCAGGCTCGACAAGGCCCTCATGGCACTATCTTGGCCACCACGCAACTCCGGGAAATTCAGGCAGTTGCGCAGCGTCACTTGGTTGAGTGAACGCAAGCCCTGGGCCTCCTGTGTGAATGTATGTGAAGCAGGCCCTGGGCTGGATACGGGTACTGGGCCAAACACAGGCCAAAGGCATGCAACCACCTCAGGCCCAAGGCCTGTTTTCGTCGTGCTGGGCCTCAAGCTACCGAGGCCTACTGGAAGCTTCTCGGGACTGGACGCAGGTAGGCCACTTCGATATAGCAAAGGGCCTGCCTCCGTATTCGGTATTCGGGTGATGGCTGCATGCTGCGCAAGCGCTGCTGCGATATTTGCTGGCTAGCGCCTACGCTCTCACGGGCGAGCAGGGAAGGAGCAAGCAGCCATAGTCGAGTTGCGTTGCTGTAAGCTGGGTAATGCGCAGGGTGGTCTTTGGGTGCTAGTGGCATCTGCGGGTTGAGGAACGAGGTTGTGAGTGTGGCGAGAGACATACCTGGTGCTGGAAGCGTGCGACATTGGTCGCCCATATGCTCGTACTTCGGGAAAGTTGTTGACGTCATCTTTCGGCATCGTAGTATAGGCTAGATAGGATCTGCCATCTGTAGTCTGGGCCGCCAGATAGGATATCAACTCTGGTTCTTCGTTGATGATGATGGGACTATTTCAGCCTTGTCAATTATGAACTCTAGGTGTGTTCTTATTTGGTGAATCTCGTGATGTGATTCTGCTGTTGGTTCGATGTCACGACTATCTGGAATCATATGTATGATGTTGTTTGATTGCTGAAGTTCGCTATTGCTCATCTTCCTTGCAATTTGGTATCAGAGTTGTGGTACGTTTGCACTCATCTGGCGCTTGTCTTCTGCCTGGTACGGTACATATATGCGGTCTGCTTCGCGAGTTTGGCCGTAAGTGGTGTGTAGTGAGGACGGCGGAGGCGAGTGAGTGGCAACCCAGGAGGTGAGGGGATCGCCAGGAAGGCTACGTGGAAGTAATGTGGTCTGGACAGTGTGATGAGAACTATCTAATGTGCGATTGATGCTGAGGTGGAACGGCGAGATAATGCTGGTTGTGCCGATGCAATGACTGGTAATCGCAATCGCCATTTGGTCTTCTGGTGAGATTATCTCTGTGGTTGGGGGCAGTTATTTGAGGTACGTTGCTCTTAACCTTATCTACCTTCTCCGACACTTCTTACCGTGAGGTTGTGTGTTCCTTCTTGAAAGTCCTCTCATTGTGAGGTGTCGAGTGCGCTCAACCTTGAGAGTCGGCAATGTTCACGTGGAGCATCTGGAAGAAGATGGGCGGAGCTTTCTGAAGGGCCCTGGACGAAGCACTGGGCCAAGGTCATCATGCCAACCCACAGGGAGTAGAGCACGCATGTCTTGTTGCCTGTCCTTTGTTCGGCTGCTGCGTTGTTAGATGGGTACTGATGGGCAAGCCAGCCCTTAAGGGAGACGAGATCGGGCGTCTTTAAATAAGCACCGGAAGGGGAACCATTGGTTGTGATCGTCGTCCAGCTGCGATGTAAAAGAATTTCTGGAGTCACTTGGGGGCGGACGTTAAATTGCCTTTGGATCAGCCAATGGTGTAAGGCTCGCTGCACGCGAGGATAGTCCAGTGCAGGGCTGGCCAGCTCAGCAGATACTCGGGGCACAGGGGTGGGCCGGACACACACCTTTAGACATGTGACGCTCTCCAGATTGCTCAGGGACGCTAACATCAAGTGATACTCAGGGGAACTAAGGGAGGGGTAAATTCCAGGTGATAAGTTTGAGAAAATTCCATGTTGTCCTATCCACACAAATAATTCTATTTTTATGTTTTGATTAGTTAGGTGTACAGCCATTGACATCTGACAAACAGCATTAGTTAGAACTGCTTCTTGTTCATGATGCTTCTGTTTGCGGACTAGTCAAACTAAAAATAGTTTTATTTGTAGGAATCTGACTTACCTGTTGACCCGAATGTAAATTCTCCGAAATAGCCACCAGTTATTTCGTCTGTGCACTACGCTGCGGTAGGCACCAAGAGTGCATCAGTGCAGATTGTGTACAGGGCTGTAGCTTATGAGCGATAGGGAGGAACACCCACCGGACGACCGGATCTTGCGTTCGGCAAGGCGCCCAGTAGCCCACTTGGCATTAGGACCAGAGGGCGACAAACATCTGTCCGCCAGCTTAGGGAGAGGCAGCAGCAGCAGCAGAGGGCTAGAGCAGCGAAGGCTAGCAGGGCACTTGTGAGTGAAACCGCAGGTTCAAAAGCCATGGCCACCGTAGCGCAGCAGTCTACTCAGGCCGATAGTTCAGGGTCTGTTGGGTCAACGGTCGCGCAGACCCAGAGTCAGTCCACTGGCGTCATGGCGAGCCAGCCACTAGTGTTAACTCTCGATGAGATCGCCATACAACAAGCAGCATTGCAGGGGGCACAACTACAGAAGGCGTTAGGAGATATAAAAGCGGAGAAAGACAAAATGATTAGAAGACGAGCCTGGATGCAACGTAGACAAGCGAACGTTAGTGAGTTAGAGGAGATGGACCTGACGAATGTGACTGATGATGTGAGACTCGTACGG